CACACACACACAAACACAGAAAGAAAGACCAATCTAAACTCAACACTAAAGCAGCAACGTGAAATGGTCAAGAGTGTAATTGTGTGTACTCCAGTACCAGAGGTCTGCTAGGTAAATCTCAGCGATGGAGCAGTAGGCTACACAAACATCCTTCGCTGTGGGGAGCTCAGGGTCCTCATCTGTTGGGGCAGCAGCTCCAGCCTGAGCCTGCTAAAAGAGCAGAGGGTAAAAGTCTTGGAAGGTGTCAAAAGTTCTAGCAAGTATGATAAATCAGAAGATAACGAACATGGCATGAAGATTTTTTAGTAAAAATTAAGTTTTTCAATGAAGGTAAACACTGCTTAACTTCTGTATATTCTCAGAGAAACTCCATCTTACACCTTTTTTACAGAGGACATTTCGACTTTCACAGTAGGAAAAGCACAAGTGTAAATAACAAAATGAATGATGGCTGAATTGCATTTAGCTGCTTCGGTTTCAAGGTCCTGATATTGTGCACGCTGGCTCACTGTCATGGATTACTGGGACATAGACAGAATGGATCCATTGTTAATGCTATTAGTAACACCTGTGCCTTTCCTACTTTGACACGTTAAAAATGTCTGCTATGAAAAAAGCCTATTAAGATATAATAATACAGAATATCTCATGCCTTTATAAACAAACATAACAGATATACTAAAAAATAAAGAGCTACTCGAGTCAAACCTTTTCATCCTATTTCTTATGAATACTGTAAAAATAGCTATTCAAAATGAGACCAATTATAAACATACCATAATGTAGGTTAAACAACTTCAATTGGAAAAAACAAGACATGGTTATGTTAATGAAAACACCTTAAAGCTGAGCCATTATTACAATATATCCTATTATATTTGTTTCCTATCCTTTGGACTTTCCAAAAAATACAACATTATCATCATTATTATAATTATATGCTCTGTGTGCTGAAATATTCTCTGGGCGCTTACTTAAAGAATGAATTGAGCAAAAGTAGGTAACTTGAGATAATTCTTAGTTTTCTACTTCTCAATGAATGGAATCAAATATTTGGTCTTCTTTTGAAGGCACTCAAAATTGAGATAATGCAAATTAAATCAAGTCTATGTATTCAGCCTAATATCACTAATGACATTTGCCTCAAAGGGGCTTTATAATCTGCACAGTATATGCCTATATTCTTAGACACTCGATTCAGATAGGGATATGGATAAACCTTTAACGGGGAAAGAATAAACCTCAGAAAACACGACACAGCAGGATCCCTCTCCCAGGACAGACAGACATGCAACAGATGTTGTTTATACAAAATATACTAATGTAAAGTCACAGATCAAGATGACAGAATTATAGATAGATTGTAAAGATATACGAAGAATATAGATCCTGGCATAACACCGTAATAGCTATGCTCTGAGTATGTCCACTGCCATGTCATTCATTTAGTGCTGATCAATTGAACGGACACTGTATAGATTTCTGTTTCTGTTTCTGTAGATAGATAGATAGATAGATAGATAGATATTTCCATACACTGTCCAACAGCACCATCTTGTGAAGTAAAAAAACATGACATTAGCATTAAGCCTTAGGTACAATGAGATTGCTCCCTAATTGATGCAGAATATGTATAAGTAAGTAAACCAGTGAGTGTGACTGTGTACTCACTGTGGTCTGTGCTTGTTTGTCCAATGCAGCCAGCAGGACTTGTATTCCTCTAGTGTAGTAGTCCACAGCCTCCTGCCCTGTGTGGATTTGTCCCAGGTACATGTACTTACTATGGCCTACATCTGGGCTCAGCTCCACTGCACGCAGAAACACTTGGAGAGAATTGGTCAAGGAAGCTACAACCATCACTTCACCCAAGCAGCATGAAAAAAATGACAGTGTTTCAATTAAATGACTTCAATTACTGACTTGCACACAGTAACAAAAAAAGTGCATAAAGGATATTTCCTTAGCTTTCTGCGTGTTTCCTAGTTCAGAACAGATGTGCCCCTGCATGTCTAGAGCTTGCAGGTTGTCAGACTCCACATCCAGGGCTCGTTGGCAGAAAAGGGCAGCCATCTCAAAGTCAAAAGAGTCCATGCATTCCTCTGTCTGTACAACAGATGATCACATGACATAACAAACATACAGTAGATGATCAGACTTAAAAACCCATTACAAAAGGCATGACAGATCTGGGTCATGTCTTCGTTGTGGAAATCTTATCAGTGTCACCTTTTCTAGTAGTTGTTCCACGGAGTACTTCTCAGCTGTCTTCTTCTTGGCTTTTTCGTGCATTCTTACTTTCATCCTTTCCTGGGGTAACAACCCAACAAATCCTGCATCTTTTGTGATAAGACAAGAGGGAGAGTCAACATTAGTTCTGTCACATTCAGTCTGGTAAAGTCACGTGTTGACATCAAGGCATAACACGTTCATTTCGACTACTTGCTGTCTGAGAGGTTGGCGTTATGTACTGTAAATAACTAGCAAAATGTTAAAACACTTAATTAAAATTACCACTTTTTGAGCGGTTGTCTTTCCTCTTCGGTTTGTTTTTCTTTTTGCCCTTTGTCTGTCCTCCCATAGTGCTGACAAACAAGTCTTATAACCACAATTACTGTCTTAAAAACAGACTTTTCCTAAAGTGTGAATCTTCCACACGCGTGGAAAGCAAGTATAGTTGAGCTGAAGGAATGCAGTGCGCATGCTCGGAGCAATAACTGGGTGCTTCTACGGAGAGAGGTAGGGGACATAATTGTAACGATTTTGAAATAACATTTTTACACCGAAAAAGAGAAATTGGAACATTAATAATATTTGAAGTTGATAACCACTGCGTTTTAAATCGAGCTTTAACTCTAAAGTAACCGTAAAATCCCGCAATTTACATTTTCTTTTTTCAAAGCGCTGATTTCTTAAGGCGGGCTTTAAATGAGTTAAACGGTTGTGTTTGTGGGCGGGTGCTCGTATTGATTGACGTGCCTGTAGACCAATGTGGTGACGCGTTAAAGCTGTACCCCTTGACGCATCCGGTTATTTCTGGATTTCAACCAATGGGCAGTCACGTCAAACGTACGCCAGTTTAACTTTTTCAATTTTTTTTTTTTTTTTTAAACAATTCTCCTGTAAATAAACGAATGACAGAGACGCTGGTGATATTGAAATTGCTACCACAATATTTAAACAATACGGAATCGGAATTGCTCGACTGTCTATTAAGGTAACTAAGCTTTAATGCTTTTTAAATAGGGACAACCCGTATGAATCCATACAACAACTATCGACGTCGCTGTAGCGAGAGAAGTGACTGAATGACAAAGCTATGAAAGATTAGCTGCTAGTAGTAAAGCTAATGCTAACTGCTGACATTACCAAGCCGACTCAGCTCTTTAAACCTACCATTGGTGCAGTTACTTGACAACACTATAACGAGGTAAAACAACGCCTCCCAAAAACAGCCAATTGTTACCCTGCTGTCAGTACTTTTATTACTAACATGCGCCAAAAAACAACTATTTGACGTTAACGCAACTGTTAGCTAGCCTTCTCCTTTTCTAATAATACGAGAGAGTACACATCGTTACACTCATGTATAAACCAACTTAGCTATACCATTGTCGCATTTGCTGTGCATTTAAATAATCTGTGCAATATTTCTCCTATAGACCGTAACCTTAGCGTATGTTTCTGTCTTATACTTTCTAGGCTCTTGTGGCTAGGTTGATGTCATTCCCACCAGCCAGTTTGCTGCCAGTATCGAGAGTCAGACTGTATCGTGCCACACTAGTAGCTTGTGGCCAATGCCACAGGCTCGACCTGCCGAGAGAAGTGGACTGTCGACCTAGAAAAGAGCTGGCAAGTTGGCCTGAACAGAGCTCTCCTGTCCCCTCGTGGCTGTTGGACTGAAGAGGGAGTGCCTGCCGAGTCACCAGTAGTGAAAGTTGTCATGGCGGAGTTAAATAAAGAGGTGGTGGATTTGGTTTGGGGGAGACCCTCCAGTGGAGCTGTGTCTCCCTCCATCTTCCGTAGATGGACACAAGGTATGATGATGATATGAATGGAAAGGCATAATCTCTCAAAAACATGTGCAGTGGAGAGCCAAGATACACTTGGCTCTAGGGTTTAATTCAAACCAACAACAGTTGATTTACATTGTTCAGTCCTCCTCTTTAGCTCAAGGTCAGATATCAGTAAAATTCCCTGCTTTTGTTTCACATGGGTGTTATAAATACTGCACATAATCGTTCCTGCTCTAGAATTTGCTTAAATTCGCTTGGTGGCCTTTCAGTATGACCGTCCGTTTACTTGGTGCAGGGAGAATGTGTCTAAACATGACTTTGTTGTTATTACTGTTAAATATTTTAAGATTGCTCTGTTGACGCAGGATTTTATTTTGTCTTAATCACAGGATTTGTTTTTAGTGAGAATGAGCAAACAGCATTGGAGCAGTTTGAAGGAGGGCCATGTGCTGTCATTGCACCTGTCCAGGTATGGTCAAGTTCAGTCTCCTTGCAGTATTATCAGGGCCCAGTCTCAATGTCCTGTACTGAACCCTCACAGACCTCCTACATACAGTGCGTAACAGTGCTTAAAATTGTGTTGCGAAGAGAGGGACAGTTTAGTCTGCAGCATTGCACCATCCACATGTGGAATCCACTTGAGGATTTTACAGTGAGCCAGCTTTTACACATGGCGGGCTGATTTGGAATGTGCATCAAAGTCTTACAGTCAGTCATGCATGGTGGGCAATGCTTGATTGACAAAGAAAATGGTTGATTGTGTATTAAAAAATACAATATAAATCAAAGTTTGTTTGTCTATGAGGGTGGATTAGGGACGGAGCAAGTGTATCATATTGCACCATGATTTTCTTCCAAATCTGGAGGCTGAGTTTGTGTTTCTTTGCAGGCTTTCCTCTTAAAGAACATTCTCTTCAGCAGAGAATGTTCCAACTGGAGACAGATGTCAGGTAGATTGTCCGCAGAAAAATCCAAACCATTATTTCTTTTATATTGTTTTATCTAGTTGTACAGCTTGTTAAATCATGCATATTTTATGTTTGTGTCTGTTTAGAGGAGGAACAGAAAACTGCACTGTGTTCCACTCTGAGTGAAATCCTGGAGTCTGCCTGCTCTAGCCCCTCCACAGGGTTCTGCCTGGTGACCTGGGCCAAGGGACAGAGCCCACATACTAGCACACATACTAACACACAGACACAGTCACACTCGCAAACGCAGGACATGCCGGAGAGCAGCCAGCCGCCACAAGAACAGCAACCCAGTGAGTCCTACGTCGGTCACATTCCCACATTAGATACACATTCAAAATAACAATGCACAAATGCATGGATGCTCACTTATTCACCCGAGCCGTGTCTTTACCATTAATCACCAAAATAGTCACTTTATTTGGCAGTGTGGGGGTTTTCTGTGCCGTGCTCTGATACTACAGTGTATGTGTGTTTTCTTGTGCCTAGCTGCTTTGGCTGCTGAAGACCTTGGCTTTGAGCGATTTCACAGTGTTCTCCAGTAAGTGACACGTAATATTCTCACCGTAGCTAGACCTTTGCATCTTTATACACATCCTCAATGCAAATAATCTTGACATTAAATAATTCTGTAGGAATGGAGGGATTAAGACCTCACAAATCCTTGCTTTACAATTGCCAGTATACAGCACCGGGATAGAGAACTGCATATTTCTACATATAGATAGTTTCCGTGGAGGAGAGGAGAGTGCAGAAGTGGTATTTGATTCATCTAGTCTGCAAGAATTGGCTTTCACATTGAATTAGCTGTTTCACTCTACTCACAAGTTGACGACTCAGCACTTTCACTGATTGCCTCATAAAAAAAAAAACTACCTCACTACCTTTCTTACACACATACGGCCTGTCACACACGCACAGACTAAATGAATGCAAGGCAGCATTTGCCAGCTGAATATTGAAATTTCATCACACAGCGTACTGGCAGCTGAGACCACAGTCAGCAAAAAGCAGTGCTGACTCACAGTAAAGACGTGCTTGCTAACTAAGACTGACAACTCCACTAGAAAGCTTTCCAAGGTGGAGTAAAAGAGGGCAGTGGCTCCAAATAGACAAGATCAGATATTTCTTTGTCCTCTAATACATTAACTGCCCTGTTGTGAAAGTCATCCTTACCAACCTGGCATGATGAATACAATTAATACAGCAGTCTTATTGATCCTGAAACCCAACAAATCGTCTCTCTTGTGTGTTTCATAAATCAACCTGACGTTTTTTCCTTCTTGCAGTAAGCGGACTGTAATGTCAGTGTCTGGCCTCAGAGAGGAGGTGCTGTCTCTCTACCACACCTGGAGGGGGTGCTGTGGAGTCTTGCTTTTGCTCTACTCTGTCATCCTCACCAAGGTAAAGAAAAGACATAGTTAGATAGAGAGATAGATAGAAAAAAGAAACAAAATCTCCAAACAGTATGTAATATTTCTGTTTCTTTTTTCTTCTGAAATAAATATGTTTTTTTGTTATGTGCTTTTAATTTTTGGGTGCTATCATTTTAAGTAATTCTCCTGTCTGTTGCATCAATGTTCAAATACACAATAAATTCATGCAGACTTGCCTTACCTGGTCCTCTCTGTGCAGGGCATAGAGAATATAAGAAATGAGATCCAGGACACAATGGAACCTCTCATAGACCCTGTGCATGGCCACGGCAGGTATAAAAACACAGCTCTTTATCAATTATATTCATCAGTTAGACACAGGAAATTATATTATGTATTGTTATTATTGCAAGGTCTTTTTTTTGTGTGTGGTAAAGGGTACAGCATATCTTGTGTTTTCTTAGAAACTCTTGATGTCTCCTTTCTTATCTATCTTTTCAGTCAGAGCCTGGTGAACCTCCTTGTAACTGGCCACGCTGTCTCCAATGTCTGGGATGGAGACAGGGAGTGCTCTGGCATGAGTAAGACTTCCTTGAAGTTACTGCAAACACACAAACACACCATATTTCACGCAACAGACACATGCACACATACCACACTCACAGAACTCAGTTTTATAGCACCAGATTTAAGCCATATCCACCAGAGGGCAATAATTCTTATATCCCACAGCAATGCACAAAAAGACACAAATTAATGCCAGTTTGACATAATTGAACTAATTCTCATTTTGTTGCTCTTTTTTTTCTCCCTGTTTTGTAGAGCTGCATGGTATTCATAAACAGGCATCCGTTGGCTTCCTCACGCTTATGGAATCACTACGCTACTGCAAGGTACAGACACATAAAGGTCCCCACAACAAGCAAACATGTCCAGTGGTTCCTCATGTCATATATGAAGAGGATTTGTTTATTTTTATTTTTTGATGAAGAGGATTGAGAAGGACACAGTATACAGTAAGATGAGAGAAGGTTAGGAATACAGATAAACACACAAATGCTCACTGTTACGTGTGACTCTGAGATGTGATAACCAATGTGTGAACACAAACCACAGTGAGAGCTCTCGTGTGAAACTAATGTCTTTGGAATGAACAGTCCCAACAGACCAACTATAAATTCCCCAGCCTTTTTTTAAAAAAAAATTGAAAATAATTCTGCTACCCATGTACTGAAACACACATTTACTTAAAATAGATTACAAAAGGGATTTATAAATACATGTGATGTGACACATTGTAGTCATCTTGAAAAACAGGAATCTTGACTATTTATTTATCATTGCCAACATAAACAAGCCTAAAAAAGTTCAGACATGAAAATAGGCAAAGTAAGCGGCTATAATAACATAATAGCAAGTAAATGGTTGCCAAAATAGCCAGAAGGCTGTAAAGAGTGATTTAAGAAGCAAAGCGAAGCTGTGCAGGTGGATTAGTGAGTAGATCATTCTTTGTGTTTGCCATGCTGACGTTTAATGTCACTGACAACCTCTGTAGACACGTAAAAGCTTCAAAATTCAAAGGTGGGGTAATAATTTTATGTCTTAGAACAAAAAGTAAAAATCTCTTAAGCTTGTGTTAACCAGAGACCTAATATTAGCAATTATTCCTATAGCACTCTATACAGTGACATTTGATCTCTATTCAAACATAATTTAATTAAAAGAAAAAACTATATTTAAACTGATTCATGGGAGAGAAAAAAAGGCTGAAAATAGACACCCTTGTTTCTCATTCCTTTACTGTGTGTGTATGTGTGTTTCAGGTCGGGGCATTCCTGAAGTCTCCAAAGTTCCCTATTTGGATCCTTGGCAGTGAAACTCACCTCTCTGTGTTTTTCACCAAGGCAAGTTTTATACACTCATCCATTAGCACCCAAACACATATTTCATTCACACAGACATACAGATTGTAATATAAGCCAGTCTCCTCAGCAGGTTAGAAAAACCAAAATATGGAATGTGCTTAAAAGATTTAATGTAGTGCAGGTCAGATATCAATATGGGGCGAAAAGAGAAGGAGAAAGGGAGGGTAGGGAAACTGAGAGCTGGAGATAGTCATATATGGCCAGTGCTGTTTCTTGGCTTTTCACCTATCCAGTATTAAGGGGGGAAAAAAGCTCAATTTCCAAAGAGGAGTGCAGGAACACACACACACACACACGCGGTCATCTTCATGCTCTCTCTGACTCTCTCTCACACACACAAAAACACACAATTTTAGTTTCTCCACCATCTGTGATCAACTAAACAATGTGTGGTTCATAATATATGACCATGATATAAACTGCTGAATTTGGACTCCAATGAGAGCCTCCATTTACAGCTGTCTTACTGCTGTCTACCTTCACTGTCAGGTTAATTTCAACAATATGGTTCACACATATTTCTGTCCTGGTACTTGTTCATAAGGACATGTTTTTGTTGTACAAAGTTGTCACTGGAACTAAGGAGCCCCAGAAGCAACACCCAGCAACTAAATTATAAACAGTTCCTTTAGCGTGTTCATGTTTGAGTTTGTATCTCAAGAAATGTTAAGAACGTAAAAATTAGTTAGGTCATTTTTACTTTACTTAACCATGTTTACAACAGTTACCCAGTGCCTGGTTTGTTAACAGTTGGGTATCACTAAACAAAAATCCCACCCTCCCTTATATTATAGTAATAACCAGAGCTTGAGTGCAGTCTGAATGACTGCTCCCTACAAGTTGTTGCATTCTAGAGGATTGAATTCCCCTGTGTCCATTGAGCCATCAGAAAATACTAGATCAGAGCAGGTAGCTTTTGGGTGAAAGGAGTCACGGTCTAGAAAACAGAACTGGAACCAGGTTCGTGTGGTCAAAATGCAGGTTAAATTCCTAAAAGTGTTCCCAGGTTCCAGTTAAAGGGCCATATGCAGCTCTTACAGCAGTAACTCAGCTACACACTGCATGTACGTTTGCACATACATAGACACAGGTATGGAATGCACACCCTAATTGAGGTCATCCCTGCTG